GAAGAAGGCTGAGAAAATAGAGCCATGTATGGGAACTGGACTCAGAGTACTTAGTTCTGCTGGGCAGCAAACCACATGCAGTTGGGAGGCAGCTTTGAAGGCTGAACAATCCACTGGTCTCAGACTCTGACCTTAGCTCTCATGTTTCTGAAGTAATCCTCAGGTAGTAAAGATCACTTTTGGCCATAGAAGGGTAGGGCTACTGAGCCTGCACCTTTCAGAGCCCAACTTCTGTGGGTCTGTGTCCAACACTGCTCTTTCCTTGATTGTATCTTCCTCCATGACATATGAGTGGAGTCCCTCTTCTCCCTGCCTTTTGATTGTTCTTTGTTTTGAGGTCCTGGGATTATCTCATTCTCAGAGGCCTGCATTTTAAGAGGTCACTTGGCTGAAGCACTCCAAGATGCAGGAAATGACAAAATGAATGTCACACCAGCAGAGTCACTGTCAGAACAGATTCCCCACTGGGTTTTAGGGGAGTTGTGAGAACTGTGAGTTTGTCCTGTGGCTGGGACTGCTGTTCTGTTGTCACAGAGCTGCCTGGTTTGCCTTCTAGTGTGGCTTTAGCTCCTTACCAGTAGGGTTTGAAGTTGTCGGCTTGTTTCCTACTTTGTTCTGTTTAGCCTTTCTCTTTTTCCTTTGTTATCTTGACTTTTCTCATTTATGGAGTCACAGAGAGAAAGTTTTCTAATCTGCCATCTTGTCCTGATACCCAGTTTTTCTTATGTGAGCTTTGATATTTTCTGAATTTCAACAAATTTGTCCATTTTTCTAGGTTGTTGGATTTATGGGACTAAAGTTTTCTGAATACTTTATCTTTTAACATCTCTAGGTAGGCTTTTTTCATTTTGTATTGGTTTATATCAGGTATGGGTGGGAGGGGTTCTTTGTTACATCTTCACACATTTACACTGTATTCTAATCAAGTTTTATATCCTCTATCACCCTCCCTGCTCATCTCTTCTTTTTTTACATTCTTTTTTTTCCTCATCGTGGGGCCTGAACTCTGGGCCTGGGCTCTGTCCCTGAGCTCTTCAGCTCAAGGCTAGTGTTATACCACATGAGCCACTGCACCACTTCGGGCTTTTTCTGCTTATGTGGTGCTGAGGAATTGAACCCAGGGCCTCGTGCATGCAAGGCAAGCACTCTACCACTGAGCCACCTTTCCAGCCCCATTTTTTCATTCTTTTTTGTTTTGTTTTGTTGGTCGTGGGGCTTGAACTCTGGGCCTGAGTGTTGTACTTGTGCTCTTTTTTTTGGGGGGGGGGTGTCTGGTCGTGGGACCTGAACTCTGGGCCTGGGTGCTGTCCCTCAGCTCTTCAGCTCAAGGCTAGTGCTTTACCACTTGAGCCACAGCACCACTTCCAGCTTTTTTCTTTTTGCTTATGTGGTATTGAAGAATCGAACCTAGAGCCTCATGCCTCTACCACTGAGCCACCTTCCCAGCCCTGTCCCTGTGCTCTTCAGCTCAAGGCGAGCATTCTACTGCTTGAGCCACAGAGCCACTTCCGGTTTTCTTGTAGTTTATTGGAGATAATAGTCTCTTGGACTTTCCTGCCCGGGCTGGCTTTGAACCGTGATCCTCAGATCTCAGCCTCCTGAGTAGCTAGGATTACAGGCATGAGCCACCAGTGCCCGGCCCTTTTTTTCATTCTTGACACAAGTAATTTATGTTTTTTTTTTCTTCTATTCAGAGGTATTTATCTGTTTTATTGCCCATTTTTCAAATGTATCACCTTTGGAATTTAGTAACAATCTATTGCTTCATTTTTGTTGTTAAAAATTTCATTTACATATGCTAGGTAAGTTCCCTACCATTTGAGCTTTCCTCATAGTCCTATTTCATTTGTCACCTCTTATCTTTGCCTGGGCTGGCACTGAACTTAAATTCTCCTGCACTCACTTACCAAATTACCTTGGATTACAGGTATAACCTTGGATTACAGGTATATGCTACAACTCTTGATGCTCTCTCTGTGTGTCTCTTTTTCGCTTTCTCCTCTCTTCTCTCACTCAAAGATGTTTCTTGTTCAAGCTTGGGCTTTGAGGTCAGGGTGTTAGCCTCTTGTTCGGCTTTTTTTTTTTTTTTTTTTTCTCTTTTTCCCATGCAGACACTTTAGCCACACTTTAACTTCTGGCTTTTTGCTAGTTAATTAGGGATAAGAGTATTTTGTATTTGTCTATACTGGCCAATTTTAAACCAAGATGCTCAGAATTTAGCCTAGGAGTAGCTAGGATTACAGGTTTGAGCTACCTGTATGCCCAGCTTTTTTTTTTTTTTAAGCATGTTTTTAATGTGAAAGCTTTATCATTCATTTTAGATATATTTCACTCTAATAGTTACATTGGATGGTATAAATTCTCCCCCTAACCCCCTCCACATTTATATTGCTCTATCCTACACATTTTGTTTTCATTTAAATTTAAACATTTAAAATTCTCCAGTGATTTCTTTATGACCCATGTATTCTTTATACCTGAGATGTTTGATTTTAGACTATTTGAGAGTTTTTGTTGTTGTTGGTTTCCAGTTTTATTTTGCCTGGAAAGTGCTTTCTGTGGTTTCATTTCCTGTAAATTTGTTACTTTTACTTTGTGCTCTTTCATTGAATATGGACTGTCTTGGATAGTATTCATGTGCACCTAAAAATAACATAGTGTTTTTCCTTTTTATTTTTATTTTTGATGGTGCCATGAATCAAACACAGGGCCTTCAGCTGGCCATCTAGTAGTTATAGCTATAATCATAGCTACTTAGGAGTTTGAGGCTCCCAGTTTGAACCTAGAGAAAACTCCTCAAATCCACTGTGCTTATATGAGAGGACAAAATTTTATCAGCTGTTTCTGTTTTGCCTCTTCAACTGCCTTTAGGTGTTCCTTATGACTCTTTAAATAAAGTATGGGGCTTACAGTTGTATATATAAATAAATGTCTATCAATTATTATATATATTTGTGTGTGTATGTATATAACAGTAATAACTGTTACACAGGCATATTCTTGAAGGTGTGGAGGGAGAGGAAGAGTTTTATGAATTCGATTTCAGGGTTTTAGTGAGCCTGACTTGGATATTTTCTCATCAGTGTTGAAAGGTAGAAGGGCTTGGGTGGAATAATTATTTTTTTCTCCAAATCTGATAGTTTCCCTTGAGAGTAGGACTTCTTTTTTTTTTTTTTTTTTTTTTGTCAGTCGTGAGGCTTGAACTCTGGGCTTGGGCGCTGTCCCTGTGCTCTTCAGCTCATGGCAAGCACTCTACTGCTTGAGCCACAGCACCACTTCCCGGTTTTCTAGTGGTTTATTGGAGATAAGAGTCTCACGGAGTTTCCTGCCCAGGCTAGCTTTGAACCGTGATCCTCAGATCTCAGCCTGGTGAGTAGCTAGGATTACAGGCATGAGCCACCAGCACCTGGCTTAAGAGAGTAGGACTTCTTTTTTTTTTTTTTTTAATATTTTTTTTTTTATTGTAAAGATACTATACAGAGGGTTACAGTATACAGAGGGTTACAGTTACATGAGTACACTTCCTCTTGAACATTGTTACCCCCTCCATTGTTTTCCCCCTACCATCCCTTCCCTCCGGTCATGGGCCCTGAACTCTGGGCCTGTGCGCTGTCCCTCAGCTCTTCAGCTCAAAGCTAGCGCTCTACCACTTAAGCCACAGCGCCACTTCTGGCTTTTTTCTTATGTGGTGCTGAGGAATTGAACCCAGGGCCTCAGGCATGCAAGGCAAGCGCTCTACCACTGAGCCACCTTCCCAGCCCGAGAGTAGGACTTCTTAAGGAGAATGTTATTTAATGTTTTGGAGCACCATTTGTGACTAAAATGATGGGGACAGAAGTAATAACTTTCAAGTTCTTTACAAATCAAAACAGGAAACAGAAGTTTTCTTTGTTTTTGAACTCTAATTTCAGGAATATTAAGTTCTTATTTTAAACTCAATATCTGCTGTTTAATGTTTTTTTTATCCTCTTGACATAGTGATATATTTTGAATGATAAATTCCTTAATGTTTTTTCCGTTACCTTCTTTTCTTTTCAGTTGTGTCCAGTCTACTGCCTAACTCATTCATGAAGATTTTTCCCTCCCTGGTACTTAAGTTATAGTTACATATTTTTTAAATGGTCAAGTATTTAAGTATCAAGCTTTATTTGACTATACTTGTGAATCCATCACCTAGAGAAAATTTCATTCCAGAGTGTTTCTTTTTCCCATTTTCAAGTTAACTGAAAACTGCCAACTAGACTTATAGTCATTTCATTTTACATTTTACTAGTAATAACTTGAGGGTTCCAGGTATCTTTCTAACATGGCTAGTTTGGTGGGTGTGTAAGCCATTGAAGGTTCAACAGTTGGAAACTTCATTTCTGGAAGGTTTTTGTTCTCTCAAATTTGAATGTGAGACTAGCATGCTTGTTTTAGTTGAATATTTTCTTTATTTCTTATGGGAATATGTAGTCTGTAAGTGGTGGCTTGTTTTTGCTCTTTGACAGATCTGTTTTAATAATATCCTGACATTCCTGATCTCTGTCATAACAGAATTCTTATTTCCATGCTTGACTAATTGATCTTGGTAACACATTCTTTTTTCACTTCAAATATTTTCCTTTCTCCCATAAGTAATATGAATATTCTGAGAATTCTTTTTCTTTATAAAGTCACTATTTTTTCTAGATTCATTTAATAAAAATGTTTTCAAAGATTGAGAACCTATAGGGTTGCTTTAGAGTTGACTACAATTAATATGTATGTATGTATTTATGTACATTATGTTTGTGTATGTGTATATTCCTGTGTATATTACAATTCCAGATTTTAAGATTGTAATATGACAGTGTAACCTGGAAAGAAATAACTTTTTAAGTTATTTTTTTATGACTGCCTTAAAGAATATTTCTTTACTCTCATTTTCTTAATTAACAGATTAAATATAGTAGAATTCAATTAAAAATTGAATGTTTTGTGTCACAGTGTCTTACATGTTTTATTATCTTTCTTTTTAGGCAATCCTTTATCACAGGATATTGCCAATTTATACCAGGACCCAGATGGAACCCGAAAGCTGCTGAACTTCATGCTTGACAATCTTGCAGGTAATGTTTAAAGATCAAACATAAAACTTGACAGATGGTATTTCAGGTTAACATATCACAGGTTGCTTTTTCTCTTTTTGGTGGGAGTTTTGAACTAAGGGCCTTGGACTTGCTAAGCAGGCACTCTACTGCTTTCAAGGGACATGCTCTACTTCTTGAGTCAGGTTCCCTGGCCTTTTTTTTTTTTTTTTTTCTGGTTGATTTTCAGATAAAGTATTGCTCTCTTTGCTCTCTTTGCCTAGGGCCAGTTTTGAGGTGCAATCCTGCTTATAGCTTCCTATGTATTGGGAGTGTGAGTATTCATGAACCACAATGCCCAGTTTGTTGAGATGAGACTTTTTCAAACTGTTGCCGAAGATGTATAGTTATTAAATTACTTGAAGATGGTGGAAATTAGGGTTAAGAAATCTAACCCTAACTTGGAATCTGCATTTTTTTACGTATATATTTTAAGTAAAATGACTACCAATGGTCTCCAGACTTGGTGATTCAACTTCAGACTTTCTGGCTTGGGTGTTAAACTATACCCATACAGCATTCTGTTTTTCATGTTACATTATTTTATAAATTATATGAGCTGTGATCTGAACATGTTTCATAAAGTGTTGTAAATTATCAGAGAAGCCACATTTTGAAGATTGGATTGTGGAGTCTTTGTTACACAGCAGTCTGCAAGCAGCCCATTGTATCAAAGGCCTACAGCCCCCAAACACACTTAACACAGCCAGGAAACAGGCCAGAGAGGAAAGAAAGAACAAACAGAAACAATACCAACAAACCAATTCAGCAATGGGAAGCTGAATTGGGATGCCATAATGACTGGAGACAAACAAGGAGACAGGACACAGGAAGTGAACATGGAGACACGTGGCATAGCATAATGGCGCCTATGCCATAGAGTCTGGGCAGGGGACAGGGTCACAGGAAATTCCTAGTTCCAGGCACTGGACTGACAGGTCCATCAACCTATCAGCAAGTGTTCACCCCTGTCTCTGGGGTATGCTTATCACCTGAGAGGGGGGAGTCACCATCCCCCGCCATGAAGACAAGATGTGGCCAATAAGGCACTGGCCATACCTGACCTCCCTACTTGAAAAGTAGATATGTTCCCGTATTTGCTTTGGTTGATTTTGCTAGTAAGGATCCTCATGGCTAGAATTTTTTGTTTACTCTTTATTTAGGATTTCCATGGCCTGCTTGCTGGCATGATTATTTTCTAGGACTGCATATATTAAACCAGCTAGGTGATCTGTTTGTTACAACATTCATGGCTCTCCTGGCAAGATGTGTAGGATATGTAAAGCAGTATTCATTCTACTGGTTGCTAAAGATAATAAAAAACATTTTATTAACAAAAGGAAAATATGGTTGCTAAATAAAGCATAGTACAGTTAGCATTTTGGAGTGCCAAAATTGTTAGTAAAGTGAGACTTCGTAAGTTCTTGGCTGCTTTGGGGTGGATTTGGGGTGGGAGGGTTCTTATAAATACATTTCTTAGCCTCTAATGTCTATAATTGTGAAGATTGCTCAAAGGAAGGTAAAAGGAAATTTTCTTTCATGGGCTTGTTGGGTGGCATTTATTTCTATGGTATTCACACAATTAATGTTTGACAAGTATCATTATTTTTCTGTGTAATAAAGTTCTACTCTGACCTCCTGAGTTACATTACCCTCTTAGAACAGTGAAAGTAAGAGCAGGAAATGAAAGTGTGTGTGTGTGTGTGTGTGTGTGATTGAATGTTGGAATTTATTATATTTGAATTTCACATGGCATTGCTTTCCCAGCAGAGAGCAATACTGGATCTTTTACTAGGTAATTAAGACCTAAGATTTTACTTATGGTTTTAAAATTGGAACGTTTATACTTTCAAATAGAAATACTATTAATGAGTTTTCTAATGTCCTTTTTCCAGTATTGATTTGTTCTCTGCATACCTCATCTTCACTTAAATCTCAGCAATGAATTTTTCAGTGTGTTAACCATAACAGCCAACTAGAAATAGTTGATGTAAATATTTGACATAATTAACTGATACTGACTTTAGAAACACCTGAAATCGGGGCTGGGAAGGTGGCTCAGTGGTAGAGTGCTTGCCTTGCATGCATGAGGCCCTGGGTTCAATTCCTCAGCACCACATAAGCAGAAAAAGCCAGAGGTGGCACTGTGGCTCAAGTGGTAGAGTGCTAGCCTTGAGTTGAAGAGCTGAGGGACAGCGCCTAGGCCCAGAGCTCAGGCCCCATGACTGGCAAAAAAAAAAAAAAAAAAGAAACGCCTGAAATCATGTTATGTTTATGAATTATTTTTTAGTTCATCCAGAGCAGCTTCCTCCGAGGCCATGGATTGCATTAAAAGAACGAGACCAAATTCTGCCATCAGGTACTATTTCCTCAATCTTCCTTGACTTTTTTCAGATATACTTGAAATATTGTATGGAATTTGTAATCTCTAGCTTCATTTTACCCTTTATGAGTAGTTGTATTTCAAAATACTAATCGATAGAATTAGATCCTCATTGATAGGCCTATGTACAAGTAATGTGTAGCTTTTACATTGTTTGACATCTCTGTTAAAATTCCCAAAAAGGTCTTGGGTAGCTTAAGAAAAAATGAATAATAGAATTTCTTAAAAATTTAAATCAGTGAAATATTTTATCTTTCCTGAAAGATAGCCTAACAATGATAAATTAATGGAATTGGCAACAGGATTGTAAATAGGTATAGCGAGAGTTATTTGAGCAATCTGGATATAGTCCAGTATATCTAAAGAGTAAGTCACAGAATAGGTATATTTATTTATTTGTACATTTGAAACAATATAAGGCCCTTCAACTTAAAAGCTTTTGGCTTAAAAAAAAGTTAAGAGGATTCAGACCAAAATGTTTATTTTAGTATTAGGAAATATAGGATATGCAACTCCTTAGTGGTTATGTTTCTGTTTTTTTAATTATGCAAGGAAATATTGAATATGTGAAATACAGTTTTGTGTCTTCCAGTGGTATAAGTTTAAAATGACCAGATTGTTGAACCATAGAGTACAGCCTTACAAGAGTCACTGTGTCAATGTTATCTCTAATAATTCTGTTATATAAACATAGATGATCGAATTATTTTCCTAAGGTTTTCAGCAAAGGCTTGAATTCTGTGGATTTAGTTTGTTCTTAGCTTTTTCTGGTGATTACTCACATTCTGACCTAAAACTCCATTTTCTAGTTCTTCCAAGTAATCTTGTTTTGAATGTGGATGGACATAATCTAGAAGAAATACTTTACTAATTGCTTAGCTACATTTCTATTAAGCACAAACGAGTTTTCACTGGTTGGCTGAATTCTCAATATATTCTTCCAGTTTTCTTTACTGAAAAAATAGTGTAGATTTTGTTAATATGCGTGATACTTCTCTGAGTAGACTCTTGATTGTTAACCTATTAAATTGGCTTTTTAGGTGGTTTTTTTTTTTTTTTTTTTGTCATGGGGCTTGAACTCAGGGCCTGGGCACTGTCCCTGAGCTCTTTTCCTCAAGGCTAGCACCAGTTTTCTGGGGGTTAATAGGAGATGAGTGTCATGGACTTTGCTGACTGGGCTGGCTTCAAACCACTGTCCTCAAATCTCATCCTCCTGAGTAGCTAGGATTATATGCTTGAGCCACTGGCACCCAGCAGCTTTTAATTCTGACATGTAGGGGGGATATATAGAACAACTAATGATTATTAAGAATGATTTCTATCCAAATAACTATAATGGTAAATTATATAAGATTCATGTGTCAATAGTGAAAAAGAAAGGCACAACAGAGAAAGTATAAAAGAGTAGTAATAATAGCCACATAACTAATTTTCACTTCTGTTTAAAAATTGTAAGCATTCCACTGACAGAATTTTGTTGATAATATAGAAATAGTAATCTCTGGCCTTTTCTATAAAATCTCACTTCACAAAGGTTTCTTTCTTTAAATTTTTTTTAACCTCTTCCTAAGGATTTCTTTCTTTCCTCTTTTTCTCTCTTTCTTTCTTTGTTTCTTTTTTTTCTTTCTTTCTTTTTTGGTCAATCTTGGGGCCTGAACTCTGGTCTCTGTCCCTCAACTCTTCAGCTCAAGGCTAGTGCTCTACCACTTGTGCCATGGCACCACTTCCGGCCTTTTCTGCTTATGTGGTACTGAGGAATTGAACCCAGGGCCTCGCGCATGCAAGGCAAGCATTCTACCATTGAGCCACCTTCCCAGCCCCTCCTAAGGATATTTTAAATCAAGAGTGTGGTAAACTCACTGGTTATCATTGTGGTAGCATGGAAATGATCTGGATCATTTCCAGAATAAATGACTACAAAATACAAATCAAACTGAAATTTAGACACCCCCACCCCCAACTTCCAAAGTGCTTACTAATCAGACTCACCAAGAATTAGACTATTGAACTGAGTAGCCTTATATCTTTACCATCATCTCAAGTGGAACCAACTTCAATCAGATGTTATTTCATCTTGGATTCCTTACATTATGTTGAAATAGATGATTCTTAATCATGTGTGCCTATTACATGCATTTATAGCTTTGATATCAGATGCTTTTTATTTTTTAAAGTAAAAGCGCTATATGGTGATTCTAGTAGGTATGTGAGATGGAGAATTACTGATAAAAATCAGGGTTTTTCAGATTTTAACATAGACATGTATTTAAATCCCAGGAGAACTGCAGTTCCTGCTCAGTAGGTGTGAATAGGGCTGGATACTTTGCGCTTAAAAGTTTCTGTGCGATCACTCATGCTGCTGAGATTTATGAATAGCAAGGATATAAACCATCTTCTATAGACTGTTAGAGTTCTTTCAGTTTCACAATGTTTAGTCCTTTTATAATTCAGGGACTTTTAAAATGAGAATTTGATTTCAGAAAGGAGCATTTGGGAAAAAACTCTTTAACTTCAGTAGTCCTGTCCATACTCTTCTGGCTCAAGAGTGGTTGATAGCAAGGGCAGTAAGAGTTTAGTTTGAAGTACTAAGTATGACTATTTTAATAATACATAATGAAATTGGAGCCCTCTAATTAGAACGAAACTAAAATTTACTCTTGTTTCTTTTACATAAGAAGATTTTTCTCAGCAAATTACATGTAAACAATATTCTGAATTAAAATTTTTTATTAAAATATTAAAAAAAAATCAACCCTAAATATCTGATTCTAGACTATTAAACATTGGTACAGTGGATTTTGGTGGTTGTGAGATAATACTGTAGAAATAAAATTGTCTTTATATTAAAGATGAACCTAAGAAAATAATTACAGGAGAGGTCATGTTTAAAGCAAAACTTAAAAAAGTTAATCATATTTCTCCCTTTGGCTCTTTATAGTGACATTTGGGGTTAATGTGCATGCCTATGCAGATATACATGATACTGATTTTGAAAAAGTTGCCTAATTTTCTCCCCTGTGTTTTTTTCTCCTGCTTCTTAGCATCATTCACGGTTATGTGTTACAATGTTTTATGTGATAAATACGCTACCCGGCAGCTATATGGCTATTGCCCATCCTGGGCATTAAACTGGGAATACAGGAAAAAGGGAATTATGGAAGAAATTGTTAACTGCGATGCAGATATCATTAGTCTTCAGGTAACACTATAGAATTAAATTGTCTTTAACTTAAAAATGAACTTAAATATAAAGATCTCTCTCTGGGTGAGATCATGTGTTCAAAGAAAAACTCAAAAGGAATGATTTTCTCTTTTCTAAAAAAAAAGGCCAATTTTCATAAGTAGGAGATTTTCACAGTGCAAGTATTTTGCTCTTTGAGCACTTAAATCTATTTCCTATTTTCTAAAGTTAAAATTTTATGTCTTTGGCATGTTCATAATTTACCATATGGATTCAACAGTGGTGTTGTTGAAAGAGAAAACAGACAATTGCCAGTCTCTTGGGAATAAATTTAATTTACAATGGAATCTCAGGAAAAAAATGTACACTCAGTTCCTTAGAGAGAAATAGTTAAAAATTTACTCTATAAACCATTTGTTTTTGCTTTTATAACTTCTTGAAGCTTACACTCTTTTTCTTTTTTCTACTTTTCTGTAGCTAAATCATGCAATTTTATTTTGGAAAAGCATAGTCTGTTGGACTTTTTGAAATAACGAAGGAATTTTTTAAATTATTTTCATTTTCTTTAAATACCCCCTGACAGCGAAAGCCTTCCAGGGTGTAAACCACTGAGAAATGACCCAGTAGAGAAGGTTACATGGCCTGGCAAGGGGGACTTGAGTCTTCTGTTAATGAGACTGTATTAAAATGAATTTGTTTCTATGAAATATATCTTGCAACTTCTTTTCAATATTTAGCTAATGATTAACCAGAAACATTTGTAAGTTTTTCTTTGCAACTTTCAAAGCCTACTAATTACTTAAAGATGGTTTTGAAATTTTTAGTTGACAAGTTATGTATATTTAAGCACTATATTGTGTTTAATACATACATATACTTGTGGAATGGTCAAAGCAAGCTCATTAACATGAAGTGTCAAATATTTGTCATATTCCCTCAAATTTAACCATTCTTTAAAATTGTACTTAAAAAAGTTTTGTGTGTTATTTTACACATTTTCTTTTTAGCATATCCTACGAAGAAAATTACTCATGCACAAACATATACACACAGTACTGCAGTTTGAACTCAATACTTTGGGCTTGATAGGCAAGAATTCTTCCTTTAGAGCTATGCCTCCAACCCTTATTTTTTGAGGTGAGATTTTGCACTGTTTTCCTGGGCTAATTTCAGACCAAGATCCTCCAAGCTACACCTCACACATAGCTGAAGTAGAGGGATGTTCCACCAGGTCTAGCTTGTTTGTTGAGATCACACCGAGATTCTCCTAATAATCTCTACTTCCTTGACCCCCAAACTAGGATTATAGTGTGAGCTATTGTGCTGGCCTCTACGATATTTTTAAAATTATTTTTTGTTGCCTATGACAAAAAGTAATTCATAAATTAAAGTTTGTAAACACTCAGATTGATTCAGGATGAGGGGAAGAAAAGGAAGTAAATAAAATTAGACTGGAAATGTCTACTTTTTAGCTTAGTCATTTTAGTAGCAACTTCACCCTTATAAACCCTTATGTTTTAAGGTTAAATCGTCATAATTTAACTTTTTTTTCTCTTATAAAGTACCGTGTTATAACGTATTCTAGAAAAGTTAGCAGTTTTTAAAAAAATTTACATAAGATAGAAGAAAATTACTCTTGGATCTCAAAGATGCTTTATTAAAACTTCTGGAATGTTTTCTTGAATATATATATTGTTCAGTTTTTTCTTAAATTTTATTTTATTGTAAAGATGCTGTACAGTTACATGAGTAAGGCAATTAATACATTACTTGTCGATCATTGTTACCCCTTCCCTTATTGTTGTCCCACTATTCCTTTCCTCTCCCTATTTTTTTTTTAATTTCCTGGTACTATTTGAACTCAGTCCCTTGCACTTGCCATGCAACTTTGCTTTCTTGGATGGAATTCTGCCATTTGACCCACATCTTCACCCAGTTCTTTTGCTCTTATTTTGGAATCTTGGACTTTTCTGTCCAGGCTATATTGGAATTGTGATTCCCTGCATCTTGACTTTCTGATAGCTAGGATCACAGGCATGAGTTACTTATGACTAGCATTTTACAGTTTGTTTTTTATTCAGTTATAAGTATATTTTCAAAATTAAATTGAGACACTATTGTACCTAATGCATTTTTTCTTTTTCTAGATGTCTTCAAAACCAGTTAATGATAGGAATATATGATAGCTGATTTAACTATTTAGATGTTTATAGGTTTATTTGCTGTTATAAAATGGTACTGTAATTATCTCCATACAAATCACTATTTCCATATTTCATTGTTTAATTTGAAAGGGTTGTTAGAAATGGTGAATAGATGTAGTTTAACTTATTAATAGATGTTAGTTGATTTGTATTCAGATACATAAAAAATTCCGTAGTGGGTTTTTTTTTAATAGACTTGTTTCCCACCCTTGAGTATTGTATTATTGCTTTTACCATGGTGCAGATGCATAAGCAAATATTTTCCTCTTTGTAAAATTGACTATTCCTTGCCATCTAACCTATTTACTTTTACTTAACCTATTTACTGCTTTACTTCATTTAATTACTAGTCTTGAGGAAGTGAAATATATTGAAATGAACTCTAGGAGTCAAGAGATCTGGGATTTAATCCTACTCCTGTTATTAACTAGTTGTGTGAGCATGAGAAAATCATGTCATCTTTCTGATCTTTCATGTTTAAAATGCTGCCATTTAAAATGCTCCCATTGTCAGTTGCAGCTGATAGCAATAAGGTAAGATAGATAATAACTGTTTGATCATTGTTTGAACTTAATCATACCATACTCATAAGTGCTAAATGTTTTATATCTTAATCAGTGCTACCTTCTCCATGTAGATAACGTTTTTTCATCTTAGGAAGTGGAAACAGAGCAATACTTCACACTCTTTCTGCCAGCGTTGAAGGAGCGTGGATATGATGGATTTTTTTCTCCAAAGTCACGTGCCAAAATCATGTCTGAGCAGGAGAGAAAGCATGTGGACGGTTGTGCAATATTCTTCAAAACAGAAAAGTGAGTTTAAGGAAACAAAAGCACAATTATGTAAACATTTCTTTTAATTATTGCACATAATAAAAAATAAAGAGCTAGAAGTCAAGTGTTGGAGATAAAATTGTTAATGGATTCTTAAGCTGTATATTGGAAATAATATTTATTGTGTTATGCTTTTATTGCCAAATTGTACTAAATTTTTTAAAGAGATACAGGTTGAATGTGGTTTTATAATTTTCTAAAATGAAGTAAAATGTTTATGCAAAATGAAAGTGATAACATTTTCAAGTTAACAGTTTGTGATTTGATTTTCTGTGAGTTCTTTCTGACTCCTTCATCTCTTCCTCATTCCATTCTTTACTGTTTTCCTCCTTTTTCATTCCTGTCTCCTTTTTTTCTTCCTCTTTTTTAGTTGTCTCTTTTGAGAATTATTATTTTATCAACGTCTTCATGGTTCATCAGCTAACATTGCTTACATTTATTTAATCATTTACCCACCAAATACCTGTTCTGTGATAATCGTGTGAGATAGGGTAGATAAGGCATTGTTCCAATCTCCTTGAAATCTCAAGTCCAACAGGAAAAGATAGACATATAGGATAAGCATAAATCCCACTTACACATATCTCTTTTATATGTAACAGAACTGAAGAGAGAAAATGAGGAGTTAAAAGTTGAGATTGAGGTTGGGAAGTAGAAAATAAAATGTGTGATTTGATTGAGGTTAATACCCATGGTTAATGTTTTGTACTTGATGTATCTGAGTAAGATACATACCTTAGGACTGTTTTGTAGTATCTCTTAACCGCTGTGATGATAAAAACCAGTGAATTTTTTTTCTGATATGGTATTTATTAGAAAATTGGTACAGTAACATGGAGTGCTCTTTTTGTTTTTCCCCTTTTTTTGTGGCATTGGGGTTTTGAACTCGGTGCCTTGAGTTTGCTGAGCAGGCATTTTACTGTGCCCTTAGGTTTGCTTGTTATTTCTGGTAGGGTCTCACTTCTATTTTGGGCACCTGTGTTGGCTTCTAGGATGTTAGATAAAAGGCTTGAACCACCATATCCAGCTCTTCATTGAGGGTCTTTCTTTTTTGCCCAGGCTAGTCCTGAACCACAATCCCATCTAATAATCTCAGCCTTCCACGTTTCTAGGATTGCAGATGTGAGCCACCCATGTTTGGATCACTATTTCAAGTAAACAAATTGAGTGAATTTGAACAATGTTTGGCCCTAATGTGTCTTTTCCGCAAATTTTTTTTTCAGTAGAGATCATCTCATTATAATTAATATTTAATGCCAGAGCCCTATAGTATTTGAGGTCAGAATATATTGTGCACTTCTTCGTCTCCTTTTTCCTTTTTTTAAAAAACAAATTTGAGACCAAGAGTTGCTGTTATTTCTGATGTGTTTAATATACATCAGGCCATTTCTAACTAATTACATGAATTGTTTTAGTTTTAAAAGCAGCCCTCAGGTATGCATGCAACCATTTCTTCATTCTTTTCCATAGATGATGAAGCCAAGCCATAAACAGGTTTCCCCAAAGTTACACAGAAGTCTGAGTACATACTTCATGCTCTTAACTGCCATAATAATTGAAATACTTAGGCATTTTGTGTGAACTTCCAGTTTTCCTCATACTTCTTACAGAGTTACTGCATCAGAAAAAGGACTTGAACTTGACATTTATTTATACAATAATTTCCTTTGAAACACCATAACTTTGAAAAATACAGTGGTATTTAATAACCTTTCTAGTTCAGCTTTTTCCTTTTCCTATTTTTTTTTTTGAGACATAATGTTGTGGTGTAGATTAAATTGACCTTTGCACTGAGTGCTAGGATTACAGATGTTCAAAACCATGCCCAGAATACTAGCCATTATTTCTTTACAGAGCATATAAAAGACTTCCTTCTCACAAATTTGAAAGCACTTAAAATTCCTTTGTAATTTACTGAGGGGATTAACACTTTGCTTAAGACTAGAAGCTCTGATTATAAATAGTAATATTGTTAAAAGTAGTTCGGGTAGAATATGTGTTATAACAAAGTGAACTAATTATAAATGTATAAATATAAAATATAGATAACATACAAGGATAAGATTATAGCTACAACATACATGCTGGAAATCATTTTTGTAAAAATCAAGTAACACTGGGTGCTAGTGGTTTATGCCTATAATCCTAGCTACTCAAGAGGCTAAGATCTGAGGGTCACAGTTTGAAGTCTGGGTGAGAAAGTCCATTAGACCTTTCATCTCCAATAAATTACCAAAAAATCTGAAGTGGATTTATGGCTCAAGTGGTAGAGCACTAGTCTTGAGCAAAAGAAGCTCAGGAATAGCTGCCCAGGCCCTAAGTTTAAGCCCCAGAACAGGCAAAACGAAATCAGAGTAATGAGAAATCCTTAAAATTCAAGAAGCATAACCATATTCTTATCTAATTCTCATGAGAAAATTTTTTTTTACCAGTTTGATTTGCTAAGACTTGAGAGAGCTGTGGCTCATACCTATAATCATAGCTACTCAGGAGGTTGATAGGAATATGGTTTGAAGCCAGCCTGGGCAGGAAAGTTGCTGAGGGTGTGTGATCAATGTCTTTGTCTTATATCCCCTTCAGTTTTAATGCTGCTGATCATAACAGTCCAAATACCTAAGTCATAATAATGTATTTTTTTTCTAGATTTACATTGGTGCAGAAGCATACAGTGGAATTTAACCAAGTGGCAATGGCTAATTCAGATGGATCTGAGGCTATGTTGAACCGAGTGATGACGAAAGATAACATTGGTGTTGCTGTGGTGTTAGAGGTCCACAAAGAACTATTTGGAGCAGGTGAGTGCAATTAAAATACTTCTACTAAACATTATTCAGTTTCCTTATCACAGAACAACTGAAGAAACCTTGCTATTACTTACTACAAAGTTATTTTTTTTGTCTTTTGGGTAATGTTAAGGGAGATGAACAAGAAAGTAGTACTAATTGTATAACTCATCATAAAGGGCTATATGTGCCCTTCTTTCTAGATTAATAGGCAGAGGTCTGGAGGATCATGGATCATACCTATGATCCCATCTAAGTGGGAAGTGTAGATAGAAAGATGATGGTCCTGTCTAGTCTGGGCTGAAATGTGGAGCTTTATCTGAAAAATTACTAAAAAAACTGAATTGGTGATGTGGCTCAAGTGCAAAGCCCTATGTTGAAACCCAGTATTACCTCCTTCCCCTAAATTACATCATGTACTTATTGAGATTTCATAAGATATTCTCTGGTTTCTATCAGTCTTTCTTCAGTTACTAGATAATTTCCAGGAAGTGTTTTTAACATGTCATATTTTCAAAAGTTATTTTGAAACAGGGAATGTTTAGTTAGGCACAATTTAGAAATGGTAATGACTTGCCCTTTTTTTTTGCCCGTCATGGGGCCTGAACTCTGGGCCTGGGCGCTGTCCCTCAGTTCTTCAGCTCAAGGCTAGTGCTCTACCACTGGAGCCATAGTACCACTTCCAGCCTTTTCTGCTTATGTGGTGCTGAGGAATTGAACCCAGGGCCTATGCAAGGCAAGCGCTCTACCACTGAATCACCTTCCAGCCCCAACTTGGCCTTCTTTTAACCCATATTTTTAGATTCTTGAGTGTAAACCCTGTCTTTGAGGTTAAATACTTACCACATTTTCTTTAATTTCTTTCTTATATTTCAAAAAGTCACTGTCAGGGCAATCATAAGATCTTTTATCTATGTGATACTTGTATTCAGTGTTTTAGGTTATTTATAGCTCCCTTTAGAACTAATATACTATCTAGTTTGCCTTATCTAGACCTTTTGTTATCCTTTCTACTACCTGCTTTTGTACATTTCATAGTTTACTAGTACATTTTAAGCAAGAGTAAGGAGGTGAAGCTGAATTGGAGCTTTTTTCCCACTTGTACTTTTTGCAGAAGAAAATACTGTTACCTTGAAAATTGATTTCAGTTATTTAGGCCATGCATATTTCCAAATTCCTTCTTCCTACTATTCTTTATTCCATCACTAAAGACAGTCTTTGGTAGGAGTTTTTAAGTTTTCTGTTTTAGCCTCTTTTATTTATTTTTTGGGGTGGTCCTAGGGTTTGAACTTGGGGCCTGGGTGCTGTCCCTGAGCTTTTGTGTTCAAGGTTAGCCCTCTATCACTTGAGCCATAGTTCCACTTGGAGCTTTTTGGTGATTAATTTCAGATAAGAGTTTCACAAACTTTATTGCCAGGGCTGACTTTGAACAGAGATCCTCAGGTCTTAGCCTCCTAGTAGGATTACAGGTGTGAGTTACCAGCGCTTGGCTTTCACTTTCATTTTTTATGTCCTAGCCAATCCTATTCTTCCTTTAGAGTTTTTTGTCCTGGTATTATAGCAAGTGCTGCCTTGATAGGGGTACATTTTAGAATTTAATATAATAAATATTTTAATGTATCAGAAATGACACACTAAAACTTCTAGAAAAAGACAACTTGGAAGTTTTGGTTGCAAATATTTATCTTACGATCTGATACCTTAAAATGACTCCTGTCACCTAACAAGATGATTTGAGTTACTCATTTCTCACATTGAAAGTACAGTTTCATAAAATTAGAGGGAAATTTAGCTTTACCAAAATAACAGGCTTAGAAAAAAATAGATCTGTTTTCTTCTAGAGTTTATATTTTAGTAGAAAAATTTGTCACATCTATAGACATTTTAATAGAAAAATTAAACTTGTTCACTGATAATCCAATAGTCAAAATGTAAACTTAAAGTGAGATTCAGCTGGGTGATGATGGCTCATGCCTATAATCTTAAGCTATTTAGGAGACTGAGATCTGAGGATCATGGTTCAAAGCCAGACTGGGCAGGAAACTGTTGAGACTCTTACTTCCAATAAACTACTCAAAAAAGCTAGAAGTGGTACATAGCTACAGTGGTAGAGCGCTGCATTTGAGCAGAAGAACCTCTGGGACAGCACCCAGGCCCAAAGTTCAAGCCCTAAGATAGGGGAGGAAAAAAAGAGACTCTCAGTCATACTTTCTAGGAATAATTCCTGTTCATTTCTCTATACTACAAATCCTAATAGGCAGATTATGTGTGGATAGTTTTCTTCAAATGGTGTCACTATGCATAATGAACATTATATTTTGAACAAAGCAAAAGGGTTGAGCTTTGAATATTTTAGAACTTAAGATTAATAACTCTGGTAAATGGGAACAATTTGAGATTTATAACTCCACTAAATTAAGTATTAAGATTTAGTTAAGCCAGGTTTTAGCTTAATAAAGTCAAAATTTAATTAAATTAAGATTTAGACAACTGAAAATTAAAATTTAGACATTAGTTTACTCTTTAAATGACAGGCATATTAGTGCTTTCTTAAACTAAGAACTCAGCAGATTGAAGGTGCTATAATCAAACATTGGTGATCATGGTATGATTTCTAACTTGCACTTGAAGAGCAGTGGTCAGCAAAGTTTTTCTGTAAATAGCTATATAGTAAATGTTTTAGTCTGTAGCTCACTTGGGGTCCTAATCACAGCCTTTTCTTTTCTTTGTTTTTTTAAGGATCCTTTAAAATTTAAAAAAAAAAAACACAAGCTATATGGAAACCTCATATTTAGCTGTAGGGAGTCATTTGTTAACCTGACAATAGAAAAGTAATTTTCATACTGGCATTACCAGAATCCCAACCTTTTGGCTTCTAAGACAAGTTTGAGATAAAAAGATATAAATTCATAGAGAAGAGTAAATGGTTATGGACCTTTTTGAGAAAACTTTGAAGATACCACTTTTCTTGAAACGTAAAGCATAAATTTCTTTAAAAAATTTTAAAATGTTTTTTAATGTTTAAATTTAGGTATGAAGCCTATTCATGCTGCAGACAAACAGCTGCTTATAGTGGCAAATGCCCACATGCATTGGGACCCAGAGTATTCTGATGTGAAACTCATCCAGACCATGATGTTTGTCTCAGAGGTTAAAAACATTCTGGAAAAAGCCTCAAGTAGGCCTGGCAGCCCAACTGCAGATCCTAATTCCATCCCGCTGGTGCTATGTGCAGATCTTAACTCATTGCCAGATTCAGGTATTTATAACATCATTTCCTTCTAATTTCAGTTTCATTTTCAGTCTTAACTGAAAGGCCAGCAATTTCCTGACTAAAAACAGAATTTTGCTCCTAAATCAAGGAATATACATACATACATACGTGTGTGTGTGTGTGTGTGTGTGTGTGTGTGTGTGTGGAGAGAGAGAGATAAGAGAGAGAGAGAAGAGAGAACATTCCAGGGATGGGACAGTGGGTAACAGCAGAAACTTAATAAAGAAACTATTTCCAAAAGAAACCAAAACAGTGGATGTGTCAGTATGGAACTACTAGGGGAGTTTGGGCTTTACTACCTACTCCTAAAGGTAAGGTAGGACCTATCTTCAGTACTTGGGAAAAGTTGTTATAAGTAAGGGCCAGTAACTGATTTCAGTGATAAAATCAGTGCCTGCCAAACTAACAAAAAGGTAACCTGGAGAAAATATACCACTTTCTCGCTCTGTTTCTGTCTCTAATCTCTGGCAGTGCTTCCCATTGACCAAACCCAACTAGAATATGGAGAGTAGTAAAGGGGGTTGCAGTTGATGGTAATAAAGGTCAGCCTCCTGAGGCCCAGAGTACAGAGAAGGAGCAAACAGAAAGTACTCAAAGTATTCATTGTAGGTAACTATCTACTTTAATAACTTTCAGTAGGTTTTCATTGAGTTAATTGGTATTGGAATACCCATATTAGATATAGAATGGTCAGCGTTCTTCTAGGATTTTATATTAACTTGTTTGACTTCCACTAAACCACATTATGTTCAAACTTGTAGGACTTTGTAAAACATAGAGCTCCATTTAGATACAAAATTTCAAATGTAAAGACATTAAAATACTACTCTTTGCTGTTATCAAACCTTCTAAACTTTGCATATTGTCATTATTGTGCTGGAGATTGAATGGCCTTACTGACAAAACTATCACAACCTCATTGAATTCTTTGTGAGGTTTAAGTATATGAAGTACTTACAATAGTACCTGGATTATAGTAAATTAGCTCAATTGTTTGAAATATCACAGTACTCAAATGGTGTTCATTACTTATTCATTATATCTTATTCCTAATCTCTATAAGGTTTATGGTAATTTTTTCATGTTTTCTAATGCAATGAACATATGGAAAATCCAAAATCTATTTCTTTTGTAAATGATTTTTATTATATATGCTATATTTATATATTCTCATAATTGTTAATTGACTTGTAAAATGCAAATATTGCACTTTAGAATAATCCAAGAACACAAGTCTTTTCTATGAATGCCACCTAGGTCCTAGAGGTCTGCTGAATCTGAAAAGCTATGGATGATATTCCTAGGTAATCTCAATACTTCATTCTGCAGTAGGCAGATACCTTATAATATAATAATATAATATTGCTAATACATTTTTAAAACAAGAAAGACAGTTTCATATGACTAATAAATCCACTCTGGTGAGTCTATGGCAGTAGATCTTATCTAGTCTTGTGTGAAGACTTAAATGGTAGTATTCCTTTCTGTTCTACTAGGTGTTGTGGAATATTTAAGCAATGGAGGAGTAGCTGACAACCATAAAGACTTCAAGGAACTAAGGTACAACGAGTGTCTTATGAACTTCAGCTGCAATGGAAAGAATGGAAGCTCAGAAGGGAGAATCACACATGGCTTCCAACTTAAGAGCGCCTATGAAAATAACTTGATGCCTTACACCAATTACACCTTTGATTTCAAAGTGAGTAACAGTTTCTGGGACGATACAGAAATTATTTCAAATAGAAACATATGACAGTAACAATCTATCAATTATGCAATCTTTAAGAAGTTTTAGCTTCCCAGAATGTGTGGTCTAAGTGTACACCAGTAACTGTTGCGGTTGTTGAACCGTCATTTGTTCAAATTTCACACGTTAATAATAGCACCTGCTTCTAAAATGTTTACTTACTATGTGTCAAGTACCAGATATAGTTAGTCCTAACCTATCCATAACATCCTTATAGGCCAGCAAGGACCCAAGAAAATAAGAACCAAATATAAAGTTACTTTGATTTTTACATAGTATTATTTCATAGTTTTCTTAGTGCTTTCTGTTGGTATTTCATTTAAGATATTATGTGTTTTTTTTGTGTGTGTGTTTTTTGCCAGTTCTGGGGCTTGAACTCAAGTCCTGTGCACTGTCCCTGAGCTGCTTTTGCTCAAGGTTAACACTACCACTTGAGCCACAGTACCATTTCCAGCTTTCTCTGTTTATGTGGTATACTGTGGAATCTGACCCAGGGTTTTGTGCATGAACAAAGCCACATTCCCAGACCTTTGTTTCTTTTAGGGGTGGGGCTGTAAGATATTTTTTGTTGTAGTAGTCAGTGCTAAGGTTTGAACTCAAAGCTTTGCACTCACTTGGCATTCTATGACATGAACCAAGTCTTCAACCAAGCTTTTTGTTGGGTATTTTGGAGATGGAGTCTCAGACTTTTCTGCCTGGGCTGCCTTTGAACCTCTGTTCTCTGGATGTCAGCTTCCTGACTAGTTAGGGCACTAGATTATGGGCATTAGCCGCTGGTACCTGGAAAGTCCATCTTGAATCCATATAATTACACTAATATATTCCGATGCAGTTGAATACTTTAGCTTTAAAAAGGATTAGAAGTGGTACTGTAGCTCAAGTGGTAGAGCTCTTGCCTTGAGCTGAAGAGCTGAAGGACAGTGCCCAAGGCCAGAGTTCAAGCCCTATGACCGACAAAAAAAAAAAAAACCCAAAAAACTAAAACAAAAAGGAAAAGACTTCCCCTCCCTGCCCCCCCAAAATCTGAAGGAATGGGTGTTGTGTAGGACCAGCTGTTTAGAAATATTATAGTGGCTTTCTGTAGTTAATTTCTACAGATTAACTACAATTGCCTATTTTCTGATTATTTTGTCTATCTGTGGCCCTTTTATTTTACTTCTGACTTTCTTTTCAAATAATAATATTCTGAAAAATACAGATGTTAGAAAGTTGCTATATGAAGCCTATAAATGACTTAATACTAAATAAATTATGAAATGGGAATTTTGCATCTCCAATAACCTTTTTCTGTTTTTAATGTTTTTAGAAACATATTAGGAAGGGCTGGAAAGGTGGCTCAGTGGTAGAGTGCTTGCCTTGCATGCATGAGGCCCTGGGTTCGATTCCTCAGCACCACATAAGCAGAAAAAAAAAGCTCGAAGTGGCGCTGTGGCTCAAGTGGTAGAGCGCTGTCCTTGAGCTGAAGAGCTGAGGGACAGCACCCAGGCCTTGAGTTCAGGCCCCACGACTGGACCCCACCCCCCCAAAAAAAGAAACATATTAGGAGGAAGGAGGGAGATAGTGTTAATGCTCTTCAGCAGCTTTTTTTTGTTGTTGGTCATGGGGCTTGAACTCTGGGCCTAGGTGCTGTCCCTGAGCTCTGCAGCTCAAGGCAAGTGCTCTACCACTTGAGCCACAGCGCCACTCCCAGTTTTCTGGTGTTTAATTGGACATGAGAGTCTCATTGGATGTTTCTGCCTGGGCTTGGTTTGAACCGCAATCCTCAGATCTCAGTCTCTTGAGTAGCTAGGATCATAGGCGTGAGCCACTGGCGCTTGTCTGTTCAGCAGCTTTTGTAATAAAGAAGGAGAAACAAAATTGCTTAGAAGTAGAATTAGTAGTTTTGCTACTAAATTAGGTAATTCTATCCAGTGATAATTCATTTTGTTTCCAGTCACTTACATGCAATATGCTGGTACATAGTCTTTTTTTTTTAATCGTTTGAATCAAAACTGGTTAAGAATTATTAATCCATAATATGCTTAGTGCATATGATTAGTTAGGGGTCCTCCCCACTTATGTGACATATATGTATGTGCAAATAGTTGAGCAAATTTAGATAGGGTTTTCCAGGAATTTTGATATTCTGTATGGTTCAAACCAAGAAAACAGTTTCCCAGAGATGCTTCCAGTTAAATACATCTTTCTGGGTTTATAATATTTCACATCTTAAGATCTGCACTTACCTGAAGCTCATATGCATTCGAAGTGAAATAGGCTTTATTCAATATTTTGTTTTATTGGGGCTGAGAAGGTGGCTCAGTGGTAGAGCGCTTGCCTTGCATGCCTGAGGCCCTGGGTTCAATTCCTCAGCACCACATAAGCAGAAAGAAAAAAGCTGGAAGTGGCGCTGTGGCTCAGGTGGTAGAGCGTTAGCCTTGAGCTGAGGAGCTGAGGGACAGCGCCCAGGCCCAGAGTTCAGGCCCCACAACTGGACCCCCCAAAAAAAAATTTAAAAAAATTTTTTTGTTTTATTTACCTTGGGAGGGCAGTAATAAAGATTGAGCTTGGGGCCTCACACATGGTTAGATAAGTATCTTCCTCTTAGGCCCTATTCCTAGCTATTGTTTTTTGTATGTTTCTTTTCTTTCTTTCTTTCTATCCTTTTCTTTCTCTCCCTCTCTCCCTCTTTTCTTCCTTCCTTCCATCCTTCCTTCCTTTCCTTCTTCCTCTCTCGCTCTCTTGCTCTCCTGCCTTCCTTCATACTGGGGTTTCACTTCTGGGACTTGAACCTACCAAGTAAGCACTACTACCTGAGCTGTGCTCCCAGGCTTTTTCAGATAAGGTCTTAGTTTGTTGCCTAGGACCAACCTTGGAGCACTATCCTCCTGCCTGTGCCTCCCATGTAACTGGGATTACAGGCATGAACCATCACTCATCTTATTGATAAGGCCTCACTACTTCTTTGCTCTGGTCTTGAATCATGATCCTGCCATTTCCACCTCTTAAAGAGAGTAGAGGCATGTCTCTTCACTCTTAGCTTGTTAAAATAGAGGGTCTTGCACTTTAGCTGGCCTCAAACTCATGATCCTACCTTCACTTCCCATGTAGTTGCGATTATAGGCTTGCACCACTACACCTGGCTTTGTTCACTGTTTTGAGAGTATTCCATATGTTTTGCTGGAGAAGGGTAATCTCAAAAAAACGTGAACTTTAACTTTTTTCCTAAAATATATTGGTAAAAGTAGTCATTAATCAAAATGAATGATACCTTTAAAATTTTTCCATTATAAAGGTGATATAGAGTGGTTAAAGTTGCACTGTTCGGTAATTAGTACATTTCTTTTTGGACAATGTGCCCTCTCCCTCATACTGTCTCAGTTTTTTCCTCCTGTCTCCACCCACAAGTTGTTGACCTGGTAACCTTTTCCCTATAATATCCCTGTAAAGTAGGCATTAACCAAAAGAAATGATACATTTTAATTGTATTATTTTAACTATTTGGACTTAATATTAACAATGGAAGCCCTTCTCTAGACAAGTAGGTTCTTTTGTTATTCTCACCTTGATCATATGAAAATTGATGAACAGAAACATGGTTTCTAAAATTAGACAATACAAAAGTACTACAGGTGGCTTACACCTATAATCTTAGCTACTCAGGAGCCTGAGATCCAGGGATTGCAGTTCAAAGCCTGTCCAGGCAGATTTCTTCTCCAAAATAGCCAGCAAAAAATAGGGCTGGAGTGGCTTAAACGATAGAGCACCAGCTGAACAAGCAAGGACTCTAGACCCTGAGTTCAAGCTCCCAAAGCTGTTCAGAATTTTTTTCTATAGCCCATTTCATTCTGATACCACTTAAAATATTGATTTAATTCACTATTAGTAAATATGTGTAAATAGGTATTTCCAGCCAAGCACAATAGTATGAGCTGTAACCTAACACTTAGAAGGCTGAGTGAGGCAGAAAGATTATAAATTCAAGGCCAGCCTGTACTATAGCAAGACCTTGTCTCACTTTTAAAGAAAAAAAAGATACTTTCAGATGTAGAAATATTTCCAACTTGGTTTTAAATAGGAACTATAAATATTTTTCTTCGTTGCATACACAGTCTAGGACAACCTAGGCACTTTGATTTTGAAATGTGCTGATCATACCAACTGTTTAGCTATAAGGGATAACATATATATGGCTCACTGCTAAATGATTTTTGCTTGAATGCCTTTATGAAGAGGGAAATCCAAGATTTGTGAAAATGAGTATTTTAAACTAAAGAACAGGTTACAACAGATAAGTATATGTAGTAGTTTGTATATAACAAATCTGGGAATGTGGAAATAAGAGTAAAAATCCAAAGACATGTTTTATAATAGCATTGTTCAGATGTATTTGAATATCTTGATGTGCAAATATTATCCCAGTTCTCATTATTTTCTATATAATGTAACTGACACAATAGTTTCCATAATTTTTAGACCTAACTAAATCAGACCAGCTCTAAAGGTGCTCAAATACAATGCAGAAATTTAAGACAGTGATTCAGTGGGATATTGAGATATCTTTATTTCATGTAGTACCCATTGAAGATTCCAGCCTTATTGAAAGATTTCAACCTGAATTCAGACTGAAGATTTTTAACTTAATAGGTATCAAAAGCGCCAGTTATTTTGTTACTTGGTTAATAAATTATTTTTTCTATAACATTTTTCTCTTTTTGTAAGCATATGTATTTCTTTTTTTCCCCCCCCAATCCCATCTCTTTCCAGGGCGTGATTGACTACATTTTCTATTCCAAGACTCATATGAACGTGCTTGGTGTCCTGGGGCCTTTAGATCCTCAGTGGCTGGTTGAGAACAACATCACTGGGTGTCCACACCCTCACATCCCTTCAGACCACTTCTCACTGTTAACACAACTTGAACTCCACCCTGCCCTCCTGCCTCTTGTCAATGGTGTTCACTTGCCTAACCGGAGGTAGTGGAGTACTGCCCTGCAAAGGCGGGGATCTGTTGCTATGGACCTGTACAGTTGTAAATCAAAGTATGTAGGAGTGAAGTATGGCCATCCTTAAGCTGCTTCTTCAGGTTCCTTTCATTCTGTGTTTGCTGTAAGACTTGTACATTTTTGTGCATATTGATAATCATTTGGCACTAGGGCTGGAACCAAAGTATTACTATCTATCCAAAATTTTAATTTAACATGTTTTTAAATTGAACTTTCTTCATATTATATTAAGAGCCAATATTCATAATTGGTAAATCCATCATTTGAGGCCCAGCAGCAATGTATTTGTTTCTATAAGACAAATACATTCTTTTGAAATGGTTTCAAATAAGCCTACTGTATTTTGTAAAAAACAATTTTTAAAAATTATACATACAAGATTTTAAATTGAATGATGATGGCATGCCTTGGGGGGAAAACTTTCCAGAATTGGTTTTCCTTTATAAACAAGTTAACTTTTGGCACCCGAGTTATTTGCACATAAATAGAGCACTTAAATTTGCTTGATCTGTACATAAAATATATAGCCACTAGCCATAATAAGACAATTTGAAAATTAAAGATGATTGCATAATATGCTTTCAAAATTAATCATTTAACAGCACATGATAGTTCATTGGCTAAATACAGGTTTTCTTGTCCCCTTATCTTCCTTTTAGAAGTATTCTAAGCCTGGCTCTCCATTTTATACAGAAATAACAGGCATATACTGCCATATGGCTTGAAAATGGAATTTGTATGTTTAGGATGCCCACAAAATTAGTGTCTGATATTTTTCATTATTCCTGTCCACCCTTTTTTTCTGTCTAGGAGACATGATGTATATCATTTTTACCACGATAGTCAAAAGTTTGAAAAACTATTGAATGTAAAGGTCCTGATGAAATTTTTAGAAAGAAAGCCATACACATGTATTTCATATGTTTCCCAAACCAGGTTTAAGTGGCTGTTGGGTATGGTTTTTTGAGGGTAACAATGGAAAAAGGTTTAGGGGGAGGACAGTTTTGGTGTAGTAGTTTAAAATCTTGGATCATTTTTCCTGACTCTAGCTGCCAAATGGCCATCATATGCTTTTAATCTTTGTTTCCATTATCTGTCAGGGTTGAATTCAGAAGCTACTGGTTTTATTCCCAACTGTTGATGCCTTTAGATGCGTAGGAAAGCTTTTCCTTTTTTTTTTTTTTGCCCGGGAGGAGCCATTTGAAAATCTGACTCAAGAGGCAGTGAGTGTAATACCATTTTGTGGGAGGGGGGAAATTGGTTGGCTACTTGATGCTAATTATGGCACAGTAACAGGAAAAGGTTGTGTCTGTGTTTTTAAGTTTTTCTTTATTCTGCTTTTTTGCTGCTATATGAGAGTTTTCTGAAATTTATATTTTAAACTTTTCATGCACTTTACTGTTTCTAGTTTCAAAATGTGATATTTTTAATAAACAAGAAATTTTCCATTATGTGAATGAAATTTTAAAAGAAAATAGCCTATATTTGTGTCTCACTAATATATAAAGTATGAGTCAAATTTAATTATTTAAATATCAGTAATTTGTCTCCTCTTTCAAACCTGACATCTTAGGCTGTTTTATTAGTCTTAAATGATACATTTCATTTGGTCATTTTATACTAATTTCTTCCATAGTAAATTAATCAGGCTATATAAAATATTTCCCCTAAAGGGTAATTTTAGTGGGATGAGGGTGGTGGGATGATGTCTTATCATACAGGATTGCATCAGAAGGGTTCTGTAAAGCCTAAACTCCCTCTTAAAAGTGCCTAGTGATAGAGGCATTGTTTGTCATCTATAATTTGAAATGGCACTGTCGTTCAGTGAAGTTTGATATTAAGACATTCTTTAAAAAATGTTAAAGTACCAGAACAAACAAAACCCTTAAGATGACAGATTTTCCTCAACATGCAGGTATCCCTTCTTATATACCTCAAGCATCCAACATCTAGCCATGCAAATTGATTACCTGAAGCATAGTACTGGAAAGTAGAATAGCATGAAAAACTTAATTTTGTGGACATTACCTTTTTTTGTAATCAGCTACTGTATGTTTTATTTTAGATCTTTGGTTTGGATTGGTTTTCTGCTCTGGAGGTATATGCACTAACAAAACATTTTCCTCCTTTCATATACGCATGTTAATTAGCAATGTGAGCAATATTTCCTACCATACTTCACTCCCAATATTTTTGAGATGTTTGTATAAAATGGAATTTAAAGTTCACTTATGATTGTATATGAACCACAGAGGAGCCCATTTATTAATAAAATACCTTTTTAATAGTTAAATGTAGAGGGAAAAATAAAAAAAAATTGGGAAACATTGTAAACAGCTTAAGTTTATTTTGTGTATGATTGAGGCACTCTGTTGCAGGAAGGTGTGTAATTGGGTTCTCTCTGCTTCCAAATGCACTCTTTCAAACCATTCATTAATGATCCTGTGTATTTTTCATGTGGCTTTAGTAAATGTTGGTAGTAGTTCTGTTAAAGTAATTGTGTTTTAGGTGGCACACACAGTTGGGGTATGGTAACCCAAATTCATGTGCACGGTTTCCCTTAGGCCACTGCCCAAGTTTCACACACCTTTGTACTCTTTGTAAAAGGAGTGGTATCTGTTTTGAGCTGCCAATTCAGATGATCAGAAATGCTGCTCTCCTCAGCATTGTCATGCCATTTGGAACTTTGGCAGAGAGACGCCAAAAGGAAGAGGTGAATGACGTATGATATGTATTCAGTGAAAGTAAAATATTTATGCTCAGATACATTCTCAGAATAAGTTAATAAGCTTTATCCTATTGGGCTGCTGCATATTTTATCTGGAGATAAAAGAAAATTTGGGCATTTTTAGGTTGTAATGTTTAACTTAAATATGATTTCTGATATTTATGAACTGGAGTGTTCTTTAAATTTATTAAAACAGTGTTTGAGGAAGGATAACCACACTGTTTGCCATTCTAGCAGTCATACAAGTGCATGTCATGTCACCCACTCTCAGGCACCAATATCGTCCTCATAGCTTTACACGTTTTACAGGGGACATTGCAGCATCCTCAGGACTGACATCTGGAAAAGGCTCACATCCACTTACTGCTCCTTGCTTGTTGACTTTGTTTTAAAATATTGTGCCTGGTGTCAACTTTTAAGCAACAGCACTGCCTAAAAGCAAGCAGAGAACAGAATCCCAGCACCATTCTATAGGCAACTTTTTAGAATTCAGATGTAGTAAATCTGTTCAAGATTTATGGTGTTTTATGTAAAAAACTTTTGTACAACATAGCTGAATATTTTTGTTTCATTTCTTTCATGTAAAGCGTGTGAACGTTTGTTTGAATACCATATGTTAAAGTCAGGTATGGCATAATGGGTTCTGAGACCAGCTTTTTTCCCTTCCCATTTGCCTTTTCCAAACTTTTTTTTTCTTTAATTTTTCTGATAATCATAGGCAGATATTTAATTTTACTAATAAGCTTCCTGTGTGAATGTATTTTTTTAAAAAGCCACTAGCCACTATGTTTTAGTGTTGTAGCTTGCAGAATTATAAAGTTCCATTTCTTGTTTGCCCCTGAGCCCTTTAAATAAAGTTATATGTTATAGAGAATCAAGAGAAAAAGTCGAAAGATACCCAAGACTCAGATTGTTAGAATTGAGGGTGTGGCATATTTAAAACTGGAACATAGGCCAACATACTGTGTTCCATTTAAAATTTTTGTCTCAAATTTATATATTCAGTAGGTGAAATTTTAAGTCTGTATTGCATTTTCAAGACTTTAAAAACTACAAATACCATCTCTAATTTTGATATCAAAGAGCAAAGAGTAGAGAAAGCACAAGGCAAAAATAGGTTAAATATATTCTTTGAAGGAATCAGAAGTGTTTGGGTTGCCATTCATAATATAAGGCTAGATTTTCTAGTGTTAAAAATTGTCTGTGTCCCAGTATTTATTTGATTCTAATCTTTTATATTCAATGAATTTATGAGATATTTTAATAGCTTTACAAACTGATGACTGATTAGTAGCTCAGTGACAGAAATCATGATCAGTTTTATAGCAAGCAAAGGCTTTAAGGCACGATTTCAAAATACCATATTTATGTTTTGACAGAAATGTGAAGTCTCACATTTGTAAGTTTTTTCCTTCCCTCCTCTCCTTGCAACAAATCACCTTTTTAATGTATTGAAGATTGTTTACTCTTTCCTTTTGAATTGTATTATCTTTATAGAACTCTGAATTAGTGTTAAGCAAATGAACTAGAGAAGTTAGGATTATTTTTTTAAGCCAGAAAATTTACAGAGAGATGGAACCTTTGTTGCTTGTGATTGCTGTGGGTTATTTTTACGTTGTAAGAAAAAGCATCACGCTTTTCAGATTCACGTATAAGTAATCTAGTACATCTTTAACTGGCTTATTTGTTAAAGCTATAACATGTTTAGGAGCAGGAAGCAAAAGCACCTGTCATAATTACCACCTAAAAGCTGAAGGGTAACAAAATCGGCATCCTCATATGTATACCAGAGATGTTCTGAACAACATCCACAGAAAGAGAAATGGGGGATAACCTCTCCTTTCTTTATGGTGGTAAAATGAGAGCAAGCATTTTTCATTTTAATCAAACCTTTATGTAAATTTCTCTGTAAAAGTCCTGCAGGAAGAAAAAGGAAGATACCAAGAAAAACAAGCCAAATTAACATAGTCAGCAATTTCCTTTGGCATAAGTTTGGTTAGACTTGTGCTATTCTTCAAACGAAGGAAAAACAAGCATGGTGAAATATTCATTCAACAAGCATAGGAGTACTCTCCATTGAAGGGTGTACTTAAAAAGCATATGAATCAAAGATATGTCTATTAAATGTTAAAACTTTTTATGGCACAGCCTACAAATTGAATAGCATTAAACTGAAATTTTAAGTGTGCATCAGAAATTAAACACATGGGTATTCAAATGCCAGAGTCATACGGCTTTGGGGGTAGTGGCATGGGACATTCAGCTTTCAGAATCTTTGAAAAAGGATGATTTGGCACTCACTACTAGTTGTTTTTATTATAACAATCTCCCCAAATTTATATAATTTGCTTGTATGTCTGTCATTTTTAACTGTAAAGCATGGGAACAGTCCTTTCTCATTTCAAATTTTTTCAGATTACTGATGTATTTTTCTTAGCTTTCAGGGTTTTTTTTTTTGGCTTTCATTTTTTAAAAATGTACCACATGTGTTTAGGCAAATTAAACTTACAAAATTTGCTCAGCATTATTGTATCAAACAATGACTTTGCTTCTCACCGAACAGATTTAAGTATACTGCTACATGTTTCAATCTGATAGAGTAATTGATGCATTATCTGGGTTTATATTTGTTCAGAAACTGTACTGCCCTTTCTCTGTGCTTAACGTGCTAAAAATATATTCCCTTACCTGTGAAATTCCTGAGCGGTGCTTTGCCAACATTTGGGGGACGGGTTTGGATGGCTGTGTTACTGCACACTGGATCTGGATGTGTTCGGTGTTGTGGCAAATTTCTTAAACACCAGCAGCACTGGGAAGTGCACTATGGGCATTCACACAGTTTTCTAAACGCAAACAGTTCTAGAAGCTGAAGTAGAGAGATTTCAGTGGCCATACTTGTAGTGTTTTAAGAAAGATGTTTCAGCTTGGTTTTCCTTTCATTTCAGCATAATACTTTTTCTTAAAGAGAAAGAATGTCTACGTACCTCTTTAAAAGGGCCATTTTGGTCAAATTCATTAGCTTTCAATTGTGATTTCTGCTGATCATATAATATGTGCCAACTATTTGTCCATGGGACTGTCTGCTCTTCCACTCAATGTGCCATTTGAGTAGGAAAGGACTCACTTGTTTTCTTTCATTACTTGGCATTAAGTTGAATAATTCATTATTTTGCATACATCTGAATGATTCTGTGGTCTATAAAATGTTCCTACAACTAATTTTAATGATCAAAAGCAAAGCACATGATTTTAAAACTGAGCAGGAGATTTGGTAATTTTCTCCCTTAATACTTGGTAATTTCTATGAATACTATTCCAAAGCAAATTTTAACTGTTTTCAGTTTTGTATTTACTTTGATTTTTGTCCCAAGAAAAAGCCAAGCATTAAATCAACTTGTTATTGTGTTCCAGTAAGTTTAAAGTTTTCTTTTTCTTTAATTTTTATTAGAGGATATAATGAAGTGCCATGTAACTGTAGCTTGCTAGTGTTTAATGTTTAATAGACTGATTTCTGTGATGTTCTAAACACGTAACACTCTGTCATCCCTGGAGAAAGTGGTTCTACTTTTATTTATCACATTCTCTCTGACAAAACCACCAGCTGCTTTATTTTTCTATTTATTAAACAGTTGATGTCTGAAGCTTGACCAAACTGCTCAGCTGAGATGTTTTTCACTATAGACACTGTACAAAATGTGCGTGCAAAAGGACAGTTGGGTGGTAGTATTTTTTCATTAATGTGAACATTGACTACACAAAGCAGCCCTGCCTTTTAAACCTCGTGGCAGCTCAGAAGGGAGGTGCTTAAGAACCTTAATTACTATGTCAGAAGACAAAATACTTTTTTCCATTTTGGAGATTGGGTACTGCTCACACATGATGTATAGGGCTAAATATATATGCTTGTCTCCTTGCACCTGTGTACTTCTCCCTTCTCCCCTCCCTTTCCTTCCCCTGTAGGCAATAAATGGCCATTTTGCAACTGCATATTTTTGTCTTGGTTTTTGATTATTTGTAACATGTTAGTTTCTGCATTTAGGTTGGTATTTCTCTTACTGAACTAGGAAGCCAAGATGATTACAAATACAGCAATTTTTTTTTTTTGCTAAAAATTACATAAACAAGTATTTTCCTTAGAATAGATTTTTGAGGTTATGTGACTTGCTTTGCCAGTAGGAATCTACACAAAGGAACCTGTGCCACTTGTGGGTGGAATTTTAAAGAGATGGTATATAAATTGCCATATTTCATTTTCTTGCCTTGGTGATGATGGAAATATATGCTGAGATAGAACTTCTCATTCAAGTTTCCTCTGACTTCTGGACATGTAGTAAGAAGTAACTTAAATCTTAATGTTTTTAATATGAAGATTTTTTTGTAAGGACATAAATTTGGCATATCCTGAGTGATAGACAACCATCAAACAGACCAGCTGAGTTACCAGCTGGTAACATTCAGTTATGTTCTTTGAACAAGATGCTCTAGGGGATATAAAGATAAGACAAGGCTTTCTGTCTCCAAAATAAAAAAAAAAATTCATGTTTGGATCATCTCAAGTCTTAGAATCTTGGAAAGATGTCTCATTTAGAACACTGTTCTGGCAGTGAGTGACACAAACTGAGTGGACCAGCCTAATAGTGTTTGGGAAGACATAGCATATTATTTTGGAATAAGAATGACACCTTGCCAACATTGTCAGAATTTCTAAGGTGAAAGTGCACTGTTTATTTGGCCCTTGAATGAAGGATTCAATGTCAGCCAGAGGTCTCTATCTTCACCTAAGCTTTTATGTTGGCAAGCCTGAACGTTCTCAAAGAACAGAATCACATGTGAAGTAGATTTCAGTCTAGGTTTCAAGATGACTGTTGAAAACATGAACATGCTCCTTAGAGTTTTGAAGACATTCGCCATGTGTTCCTGCATTCCGCCATGTGACTGGGCAAAACATAAGGCTCAGTGGTAAAGTGGAGATAATAAAATTTCATGAACTAGTTTTCTTGAAAAGCAGAGCCAAAGACAAGGGCTTGCATAGAGGTAGCTCATTTTGATATTGACCAAAAAATGGAGGAGTGGGAAGAAGGAAAAGCAAGGATAAGTGGTACATTACTATGGGGCATAAACCTGCCAGAGGCTTTCTGAAGAATGAAATGCCCTTAGCATTGTCTTCATGTAAACTATGAAAACAGGGAATTGTGGACTACCATCTTCCATTAGTAAATGGTACTACACGGGTGTCAATTCCTTTTCTCATCTTTGTGTCAAATTTACTTGGCATGTTACTGTGGGGGTCCCATAGTGAGAAAATGGGATTGGAGGTAGTGTGGTATGGCTAGTGCCAAGTACGCTAAGTTACCTGTGTGAGTCTGGTTACTGAGGCAATGGTGAGAACAGGAAGGGAGCTGAGGGTGTGGCACTGAGCACAAGATAGAATAGTAATGCTTCCCTTGCTCTACTGAGATCAGTTTGACCCTACGGTTACTGTTAAGATCATTTCGTCACAGCCTCATTGGCTGGGACAGACTGTAATCTCACAAAAGCAAAAATAAAAGTAAGAACCAACTACCCTCAATAGTAGAACCAAAGTAACAATCCCTTACAAGTTCTAAGGCTATGACCAATGTGTCATCTCTCTTCTGTTCCAATTTAGTTTCATGCACAGCTTTGAAGACCATGCTTGTATTTTTTGTGGCTCTGTTTCTCATATGTGAGTCTTGAGACTGTTCTTTAGTGTTGTTTGCCCTTGAATAATTCCTAATGAGTGAACATTGTTATTCTACATTAAATCATCACCAATGAAAGCATACTGGTGCATCAACAAGCAATGTGATTAGACTGACTCAGATCTAGAATACTTCCTTGGCCTATTTCTGCTACTAGATCAAGTCAATTTTCCACTAAGGCTAGAGCCTGAGAAATCTGTGCAGGTAGTGAATTTAGGGTTATGATCTTAAACAAGAGGACTGGAAGAATCAAAAAATAATTCAGTGGTGAGTTATTGAGCTAACGATCTATGTAATGTAGTCTTGGTCTTATCGGGGATCTTCCAAGGAGCTATGTAAAATGCATAGCCATCTAAGAAACAAGAGGCTAGTATTTAATGGTTCCTCTACCCCATCAGTCAAAGATCACTTACCTGAATGTTAACTCCCTCAAAGATCTAGTCTTCAGATTTGACATGCAGAGATTTTCAATTTCTGTTGAAGCAAATAAGGGAAATATACTCAGTTATAACAGCAAATGATAAAGTTCTTACTGAAATAAAGATAATCATATTCCTGAGTTTTTTAAGCATATATACTTTGTATCCCCTCATTTGTAAATCATGGCAAATACAAGTAGAACTTACATTTAGAGTGCTAGAGAAGTTGGGAGAGATGGCAGAGAATGATACAAGGGGTAACATCAATCAAGACCCATTGTACTTATAAACATTTGTTGAATGGTAACTCCTTTGTGCAACTACTTAAATAAAAACAGAATTTAAATGTGCTTATGTACCAGGTTTTGTGTGCTTATTACATATTGTTTACTTCTCACAATAATTCAGTAAAATACTGTAATTCTCTTTATTTTCCAGATGCAACTTTGGCCCACAAAGATTGACAGTTCATTAGCCAAGTGACACAAGTTGATGTGGGAAAGAACTGTGAAGCAGTCTAGGCTATAGTGCAAAAGGCCTTTCCCATGGAGCCTTGAGACCTTGCATACCTGTGGTGTCCAGCTTCACCTACTATCATGCAGTGCCTCAGTACAGTGGGTGTTGTATTTGGCACTGAAGTGTACACAAAGTCAAGTGGCTGCCTAGCCTGAGATGGTATTGTCCTCTTGAGGACACATTTTCTCATCTGCTGGGATGGAGGAAGCTGAGACTCTAATTCTCTGAGAAGGAAGATCACTTGGCATTTGAGGGGTGTGGGGGTACTTGCCAGCTCCAAATCTCCCTGTGAAAATTGCTAAGGCCTTTGTTATGACCAAAGTGCTTCCTTCACAGTCTGATCCTGAGCATACTGATAGGCCAATCTCCATCTGTTTCCCAAGGCATCAAAATCTTATGTCAGGAGAAAAAGGTTTCATGTAGCAGGTAATACTAGCATTTCTGGATACTATAGGAAATAGTAATATTTGACACAGAAGTACTAAACGTAGGCCTTATTTGAAAAGGCATTGTAGACAAATAAGAATTTGTCATCTGTAGTATAGACCCATTTCTTTGATGAACATCGATGCAAAACTTCTCAACAAAATTCTGGGCAATTGATTTCAACAATTCATCAAAACATTATATAGTATTATCAAGTAGTATTCATTCCAGGGATGTAAAGCTGATTCAATATACACAGGTCAATTAATGTAATTCACATTAATAGAAGCCAAGACATGAACCACGTGATCATCTCAATGCAGAAAAAGCATTTGACAAGATACAAAACCCCTTTATGATGAAAGCTCTGGAGAGACTAGGAATCCATGGAACATTCTTCAATATAATAAAGACTGTGTATGACAAACCTAAAGCTAGCGTTATACTTAGTGGTGAAAAGTTAAAGGTATTTCCTCTAAAATCAGGAATGAGACAAGGATGTTCACTTTCTCCACTCCTCTTCAATACAGTATTCGAATTCCTAGCTAGAGCAATAAGGCAAAAGGCAAACATAAAGGGGATCCAAATAGGGAAGGAAGTAAAACTCTTTGCAGATAACATGATCCTATATTTAAAGAGCCCCATAGACTCCGCTCCCAAGTTACTTGAGCTGATCTGAAATTTTGACAAAGAAGCAGGCTTTAAAATTAATCCACAAAAGTCAATGGCTTTTCTGTATGTCAACAATGAGAAGAGCAAGGCTTAAATCAGGAAAGCAACTCCTTTTGTAATAGCCTCAAAAGATATAAAATGCTTAGAAATTAACCAAAGAAATGAAGGACCTCTAAAATGAAAACTTAAGAAACCTCAAAAAGAAAATTAAAGCAGATCTAAGGAAGTGAGGAAAACCTCCCATGTCCCTGGATTGGGAGGATTAACATTGTGAAAATGGCAATACTGCCAAAGGCTATCTAAAAATTCAATACCCATCCATATCCCAACATCATTTTTTAATGAAATAGAAGAAGCAATCCAAATCCATATAGAATAGTAAAAGATCCTGAATAGCAAAAACAATTCTTAGCAGGAAGAATACTGCTGGAGGAATATCAATACCAAACTTCAAATTCTCTTAACAAAGACATAGTAATCAAAACAGCTTGGTACTGGCCTGAGGACCAGTGGAATAGAACTGAAGACCCAGAAATGAACCATCAGACCTATGGCCACCTAATCTTTGATAAGGGAGCCAAAAACACAGGATGGAAGAAAGCCTCTTCAACAAATGGTGCTGGCAAAATTGACTGTACATGGATAGAAAACTGAAGATACTTAATATCATCCTGCACCAGAATCAATTTCAAGTGGATCAAAGACCTCGAGGTAAAAAGCAGATACCCTAAAAATATTTCAGGAAGGGATAAGGGACACACTAGAGCTCCTTGGCATACATCAAAACTTCCTAAATACCCAGAAACACAACAAATCAAAGAAGGGTTGGCTAAATGGGATTGCATTAAACTGCAGAGATTCTCCATGGCAAAGCACAAAGCAAGATAAACAGAAAGCTCACAGATTGGGAGAAGATCTTCACTAGCCATACAACAGAAAAGGGCCTCATATCTAAAAGTTAGAGCTCAAAAAATTAAATCCCCCAGAACAAATCCTCACTAATAAGTGGGCTAAAGACTTAAAAATGCTCAACATCTCTGGCCATAAAAGAAATGCAAATCAAAACAACATTGAGATTCCACCTCACCCTAGTTAGATTGGTCATTATCAAGAAACCTAAAAACAACAGATGCTGGTGGGGATGAGGCCAAGAGGGAATGCTACTACATGGTTGGTGGGAGTGTAAACTTACTTAACCTCTCTGGAAAGCACTATGGAAGTTTCTTAAAAGACT